AACAAGATAATTACAAACGTTTGTGTGGAACGGATTAAGACTGAGTGGAAAGGAGCAGCAATAAGAGCAATAACATCTTAAGGAATTGGAAATACAAATTAAAAAAAACAAAACTGATGTATTAGAAAGGTGTCTTAAGGCCGTTTCTCCTAATCCTCACCTAAATCGAATGTATTGGTTCAGAAATCCAGGTCTTGTAACTATAGTGAGAAATGCGAAAGTATGTGTAATTATACTAACCCGACATTTTTCCGTAATACTTTTAATTGCGTTGGGCGCATCCGAAGTATCTTAAAACACCGTACGTATGGTGGATTGTACGCTCATCCCCCCCGGAGGCGACGTGCACGGGAGCAAAATATTGGATAAGTACACAAGTTTGTTCAGCATACCATCCAGGGTTTGGTATGGTTGCTGCGGCAAGCGGGTTGCATGTCATTCCCTTCCCAAGGAGATGTGTAAAGTTAATATGTAATCAAAATACTGCCATAGCTAGACGCGCTAGGTATTTTCATGTTACAAATTTTTATTCGTGCCATGCAAGTTCGAAATAAAAATAACTTTTAAACATTACACAGTTGCCTTTGTCATCCATTCTCTGGAATAGAACGTCTCATGAAAAATATCGATCAAATTACTTTCAATTTATATTTTTTTTCATTGCAAAATTAGGTTTAATTGTCGTCACATTGATTTAATAAGTTGCAGCGAGTCATGTGATGCCGGAAAGACGGTATAGTAAGCGGGGCTTAGATGCTTAAACGCCTTTAAAACAAGTTTGTTTAAGAATTCTCGTCAAGTGTTCTGGAAGGATCCGGGGCGAATTCGATAACTGTGTCGAAAGGTAGTACGTAAATTCTGAAGTCCAGATGCTATGATAAGTGGTCTGCATAGTTTCCATTTGGTCATTCCAAGGCCGTGCCCCGAAAGCAACACACGAACAACGCAAAATCCTTCCGTCTAGGTCTGATCACCCACCCCAGAAGAACTTTCTTCTTCTGTTCATCTCTGTTGAGGTAATGGACCGAGGAAGTACGATCTTCTGGGATATGTGATCACGGGGATCTGTATTATAATAAAATTGCTCAGATCGCATTAAGTAGCAAGGCAAAGAAGACGTTAGATGTTTTGAATGATAAATATTCATGATGTACGAGGGTAGAAAATGGAACTTAGCTTGTAAGGAGAGAATATTTCTTGAAAACCTACCGGGACTTCTGAATGATTCTGGTCACAAATTTCTCGAATCAAAATAATGATTTAACCTCTGTTCTGCGGAAGGGAAAATTAGACGCTTGAGGAACTTCACTATTCGTTCATATGATTTGAATATGCCTTGGCGAAAAACGTATTCCGTGCACACAAATGATTTTGGCTAGACTATGAATCCTGTGATGTGTTTGAGTGCCATGTTTTGCTCACAAGAGAGTGAGCCATGGAGAGCATGAAAATGAAATTAACACGCGTTGCAATTTCCCCCTCATATTGTTTACAGTGATAATGAATACGTTATGTTGCCACTGGTGAGTGAAAGCAAACTGGAAAGAGCGCTGTAGTGTTTAATTTAAAAATCAATTCAAGTATTTTAAACATGTTATTACTTGTTTAAGTAGTCTTTCGAGTGAAATACTAAGTAAAAGTGTCTTGTTGTGAACGGTATTTTATAGAATATTCAACAGGCTTCATAGACACGGACACTGAGAGCAGCGCGTAACTTCGAATAGCCCAAGTACGCAGAAGCTGGTTGCTGTGATCGGTAGTTTTCCGTGGTTTCTCTGATCAACACCAGGCAAATGACGGAGCACTACCCTAACAAACGGGGAACGAACCGCTCGCGATCTTTCCTTCCTTTTCCTTATCATATTCTCACACATTATTTATACACATTCACCACGTGTTAGAAGACCACTCGGGAGCTAAGACTTTGTCTTGGATTGGGCGGCGCTCCACTGGTGGGAGATATCTGGATGAAGAAAACCTCGCAAGCCAAAGTGTAGGTCGGTGCCGGAGCTCACCGTTGAGCGGGGAAAAGAACACAGCTACCTCCCGTGAAAATAACCATTCACTACACGTACGGAACCCATAGCAATTGACGCGACCGGAAACAGGAAATCATTCATTAATCAGCCTAAATAGAGGCGTAATTTCAAAGGAAAAGCTGTGGATCTTATTGCAGAATAATTGAGGGAGACTCGACGAAATAATATTTTGAATGGAGTGAACAAGGTTCCCTCGTTCCGAACATGCTGCCCACTTTTTAAGACCACGTATTGTTCTTCGCGTCTGCATTACGTCACATCAGCATTTTCTTCTCAGTGCACTGTTGAACAACGATCGCGCTTCAATGCCTTCCACCCATAGTCAGCACAATTGCTAGTTGGCCGTACGACACGGTCTTCCCACGCACGTAGCAATTTTGTCATTGTAAGGACTTGTAAGCCTGATTCCTTACATGAAAGCACTGTTTCAACAATTAATTGATCACATCTATCTTTCCCATGGGGGAAGATTGTATTTTCCTGCAGTTAATTCTATTAATAAGTTTAATTTGGTTATATATTAAGAGATTCAGAACAGTTAGTTCCCCCTTTTAATATTCTTCGTTCGAAGATATTAATAATTAACAGAGTTGACATTTTGCACAAACGTTATTTACAATTACCGGAAACCGTTTAGAATTATAAAAAACCTTCCGATGAATCATGAAAATTTGAAATTTCAATTTAATTCCAATTAACGTATTTTGCAATATTGGAACTAATTTGTATTTATAATTTTCCATTGTTTCTCAGTGGTGAAATTGTGAATATTGACATTTTAGTAGTCTCTGAATTTGACCAAACAAAATCAATGGACATTTTTTTTCGTTCTCGCTTTATTACGTATGTAGTAAAGAGAAAGTATTGTTATGAGGGAGAGGCAATTTGCGACTGAAGAACTCCTATTGTGGGGTCTTGTTAACAAAAACCTGAATAAATCTGGTTCCTATGTGTTGTAAATATCTTTTCCTAACTCGTTATGTTTATAATTAAAAAAATGTAAATGTATTTATGGAAATATACATTTTAATTGTTTGTAAATTTTCAATTACTAGTTAATTATTAATTAGTTTTTAACATATGCATTGAATATTTTCCTGTTAGATTAAACTTCTGATGTATTTTGTTTTCCAAACGTCCGCAATTTTGTTTTCCAAACGCCAGATAACAATTTTGAAACTTGTGTACAAAAATAAAGTTATATTAATATCTAAACATTAACAAAACTTCGATAAATATTGACAGTTTTAATAAGCATTATCCATATTCCAAGTATTTTAATGCTCTTCATTATTCAGTTCACATTATTTGCGAAACGCACAGTGTACGACCGCAAAACTGCTCATTTCATAATGTTGTGGCTTTCCGTCGTACACCGATCCGCGCTGATTGCAAATAGTAAATGAATGCTAGCAAATTGCAAAACGCAAGATAAAAGTGAAGAACCAAATAACTAAACCAAATAACTAAATTGATAGCATTGTAAAAGTAAATATTTCCTCCGACTTTCAGTCATCGCTCATATACTTGTACGTAAATGGTGGGCGCTGGGGGAGAATCTGTCTCGTGGTTAAGAGCGAAGGCGCTCGCTGTCCACCAAGGTCCGGGACCGATTCCCGGACAATCTCATGTGAAATTTGTTCTAATGAAACGAGTTCGGCTGCTTCACAAGGGTTAATCCAATACCTGTGAAGTGTTCTAAACCTTACCCTATCCTAATTCCTACCCGATTTTGGCCGCTGAATAGTTACGCAGGAGCGCGTGAAAGGCGCGTACGCGGAGATTCTACCTGGAGGTCCTCTTCACGGCACCTGACACGACCTACAGACTAAAGACTGTAATATATTGTATAATATATCACTATAGACGTAATTGAGAATTATTACATGCATATAAATACGTTCTACGCCAAGTTCTATGCTTGTTGCGAATATTGTCACAGGAATAGTGACAAAGAATCCTCGTGGACGTGTTCGCAGGTGAGAATGTCCTGGAGGATTCTTTGGCCGTGACCACTCCACCACTAACGAAATCTGCCGAGTTGCAAATGAAACGTCTGGAAATATACTTTCCAATAGATCATGACCCTCCAGCCTAGAAGATAATTTGTATTGTGACTCCGAAAGCAAAAGCCTAAATGGTTGTATTCTTACAAATGCCTACTAGTACATTTTACATCACACAATTATTCTCATTTCGGGAATCATGTTTCTTTTAGCAGAAGTTGTGTGCTTCTATTATAAGTGGGAAAGGTCAACGGTACTCGCAGCTTAGGTTCAAGGAAATTTGAGTGCCTGCAAATTATCGAGAAAAAACATCAATTTTACTAATCTATAAATATATTCTCTTAAATATATAATAGTTTCGCTAAATTACGACAGTGTTTTTAAAAAAACTCTCTGATGTTTTCTCCGCACCGGTTTTGAAACTACGAAGACTCATAGCTCGTGTATAGATGTAACGCTTTTTCGTACACAGAATTTTAAGTCAGAAGGAAAGTACATCATGAAAATAAGAAGTCATTGAAGAGAAATGAACGTTATAATTAATGAAAGCTTCATTTGTATCAAGACGTAAAGAAGATAGAATAAATGAAAAATATTTCCAAAACATCATGCCAAATGTACCATATCTGAAATCCACATGCCAAAATCTTCCAATTTGCATTTGTTTCTGAGGAAATTCTTATTATATGTATCGTATTTTGAGCAAACATTGGATTGTTTCGTGTCGGTCTCAGGCGGGGTCCGTATTGGGGTTCAGTACATTGTGCATTCAAGATTAATGTGCATCGTTCTGGCCTAACTGCCCGACTGCCTTAGATGACCCATTTCAGCCGCTCAATCTCTCGAATATTTCAACATGCGAATCCCGCCCTTAATATTCATTTCGTCAACGCCACAACCTTCATAAAATATTTTACGCGCTACAAGTGAAATGAACGATGGGCAGTCAGGCTCGATGAAGGTATCGGGCCTAGTCGGGGTGTTGGATTTGGTAATCAGACTGAGATCTTGCACTGTTGTTTCTGTCCGTCTTCTGTGAGGTGAAATTTAGTTTGTTCCGGCCCGGCATATCCCGATCTGAACCGATTCAATAATTGGACATTCTGATCTTTCTTTGCCCTTACCACTTTGTCTGAACGAAAATGAGAGATTCGGGATTCACGGGCTCATATTTGCCAAGATTATCTGAGATATGAAAAAATGTCTAGTTTAAAAACGCAATCTCTGAAATGCGTCTCGCAAGAATAATCTGAAACAATAAGTCTAGAAACTTTGTTTGATTGTTTGTTTCAATTGTTTTCTTGATTGTTTTCTTGATTGAATTGTTTTCTTCAATGAAATGACATATCGCTTTTTGTCATTTTCTTCTGGGATATCTGTGTATATACGTATGTGTATAAATACAGGATGCCTCACCAACTATAAGTCACTCCCAATCAGCTTCTAAACGGTTCACGATATAGAAATTCAATGTTCGGTCAACAATGCGGAATCATGGGGGTAGTAATATGCTGTAGAAATATTGTTCGTAGTATTGTGCGTTTTCAAGAAATTTAATCATCTTTTGATTTTTTAATGGAATTGCATATTGACTCTTAAATTCACGAATCAGCTAACTATTAGTTCTAGGAATTGTGAATGGCTGTTGGCCATTTCATTGAAAAAAAATCTTAGTTTGTCAACATTTCCTAATGTTTAATAATCGTAAAATTGTTGCGATGTAACGTGGGCACCACCTCAGTCAAAACTCCGTTGATAAAAATAACATTAAACAATAGTTATTCGTTATTTTCTACAAAGTAGCGAAAAAGGTAAAAATGGGATGTTTATGGGGTGTGTTGCAGCCTTAAACCCATTCTAAAAACAGTTTTATTGCTGCCAAAGTTGTTGCATCGGAAACTAACTTTCTTACTAAGCCATTGACTTCTTTTTTTTCGATACAGCCTAGTGTTGAATAAAGTATTGGGAAGTACACTTACACCAGCTTACTGTCTGTTGGCGCGACAGTGCTGCGACGCGCCTGCTGGCTGCGGAAGTACGTGTTCCTGTGCACGGCGTGCGGCGGCCTCGCTGTGCTGCTGGGCGCGCTCTTCCTCACCGTGTACTTCATGCTGCGCTCGTACACGTCGTCGCTCGCCTACTTCGAGACGGTGCCCACGTACGTGCCCGCCGCCATGCTCATCGGCACCGGCCTCGTCGTCATGTGCCTCGCCGGCCGGCGAAACCGCTACGCCTATTTGGTGAGTATCGTAACACCTTTTCAGAAATACGTTCAGTTTGCTTTTTTTTAACTCCCCATTTCTGCTTTGTAACAACTTGTAACTCCAACTGCCCTGTCGTGAAATGGACGTTGCATTTTGATCCCCACCCCCCCTTACCCGTTTGTTCTGTATTAAGCAAATGTGACTTTATTAAAAATTGGGTGATATCTCATCAGATGTTAATTTTTTTCAAATTTAGTTACAAAATATTTTTTATGAATTTTAACACAAATTTATTGCTTGAAGTTAATATAATATTTATTATTCAAATGTTGCATAAACGTTCGGATTTTTTACAGTTGTGAGAATCCCCTCCTTTCTAAGAGCGAGCGAATTTCTTGGTTGGCCCCTAATGAAACTTGGTGTCGGGGAGGTATTGCGTAATGGCTAGAGTATACTGTATCCACCTGGTCCACGGTTCGATCGTCGGCCAATTCATGAAACATATGATGGATCAAGCGAATTCTCTGCAGGTTTTCTTTGGGTTTTCGCGTTTCTACGGCCTCTAATTCAACCATTTCTTCATAATTTTAATGTCTCACTCCTGGGCAGTAGTTGAAGGACCACTATACTCCAATGAACAAATAATGTAACTTAACGAAATGTAACCACACTTAACATACATTAATGTAACGAACGGAACGTAAGAATAACGTAACGGAAACTCGTGCAACAAAGATTGAGGTAATGAAATAGCCTGCGAATCCGACACGGGGCAAGTTTCCAACAATTAAGTTTACTTTGTATATTCTCTGTTTTTCTTAGGTTGTACACTCGTTCATTTACCTATTTACTACACAAATTTTCATATTTACTTCTGCTTCTAATTGAGTAAACAACACAGTTGAGTATAAGAAAATATCTCATAATAGTAGTAGAACTTCTGGATTGACTTCTGACCGATGTCGTTGGTTAAGCCAGTTAATACTTGCATGTACGTCCACAACATCTAAGTTATTCCTACCCAACCTAACACAAATATTTGTATTGGAGAAATCTGTAAGCGATAAACGAGCATTCGAAATTGAAAACCTGCCGTCATGTAGTTTTATTATTTTTGTGTTATGATAGATATTTTAAGACTATTATTTAAAATCTAATCAAACCAAAGATATGAATAATAAGTACACTATAATATAATACAAATTACAAATCTTTAGAACCCTACACTTATCATTTACGTGCGTGTTTCTAGCACCTCGCAAGAGCGGAGAGTTTAAACACAGAGTTAATATGCAAAAAGGGGATGTTGTGGTACATTGATGCACGTCGATTTACTGACATGGCTGTGGAAACATTCGTGTTTTGCCACGAGAACCAAATATTAATCCGCCAACAGTCATTTTTATCCATAATGTCAGCAAAAAGCTCCATTGTGGAATATTCGTGCGCAAATAATGCTCATGTGAAAGCGGCTGTATGTTGTATTAAATAATAACGCCTCGCTTAATTCCAGTGGGGTGCACCAGTAGTCATTGCTATGAAAATGCCGCCCATACTACAGAAAAGTTATACATGTGCAAACGTACTTTTTTAGGAGTAAAATCAAATGTTTTATTCAATTATTTCCTTCCTATAAATACTATTTCATTGTTTTTCGGAATTTAGTAATGTATATGTCATCCCTCGCCTTAATTTCATTAGAATAATCAGCATTGAAATTGTTGTTTATCTCAGAAGAAAACATCTTCCTTTTTATGAAACTTTTCACACTTATGACACTTTTTAATTTAATAGACGTACTTATATTTATAGATGTCCTCTAATTTGCCCTTTTCAAGTTCACTTATATTGTTTATCTTCACCAACCTCACTTAATTATTTTATGAAACTTTACCAATGAAGATCACACGTAACACTAACACAAATATGATAGTCCACAAATTATTGATGAGTCGTCTTTCTTCAAAGAAAGACACGGTAAAACATGACACTTTAGTGTGACACTGGCCTCAGTCATAAAAATCTCACTTGAATTTTTTTCTTCCGATTGATTGATTAGTATTTCCAGGCTTGTCAACTGATAAGTAAGTCCCGTAAGGGATACATAGGGTCATTAGTCTCGTAAGTGCTGTGCATGTTTTTTATAGCGGGAGGTGGCGGGAATATAATGCATGCTGGAGGTCGAGATTAGGCTCCGATTTACAAGTCTGCTTATGGGGTTTGTCCAACTAGGTGTCTCCCACCAACGTGGCACCGCCCCGGTCAGTGCCAGTTGTAAGCTTCCTAATTGTCTCCCGACATGTGTAGTAGTGTAAGTAAGCGGAGAGGATATGACAAAGCAGAGAACGGAAAGATTTCGCGCGGTCCGTGGCTTGTTTGTTAATTTGAAAAACTAGGGTCGACTATTCATCAGAGCAGCCGGCCGCCTGAAATTTCCTCTAGACAGCGGTTGACACTAGCTACCTAGCACCGTCGGGACTCGAACCCTAGAACCTCCCGACCGGAAGCACTGCAGTGACATCAATTGATGCCCTGAGACATCTAAGCCGGTATTTTCCATTGAAGAATATTATGATTTTATGTCAAGAGATGCGTAGCATCCGGGAGGAACATTCCTTGTTAATGCGAAACTATTGTCGGTAATGTTCTTCACATACCACACAATGTTTTCCAAAACGAATAGTAAATCCAAATACAATGTTAAAGCAGTCTTAGGAAGAACATTTTAGCTCGTGCGAAGTGGGAACAGGAGAGAGGGCAGCGCTGGCTCGATCCTCGGCTGCGAGCTCTGCAGGTTACGCAGTCACTTGCCTGCTCTGATGCTTGCAGATTGCTGAAAAACGTTTAGATTTACTATTTATATTTAGACTCTCGAAAAGCTTGTGTGTACCAATTTCTCATTCAGAAGTACACAAAATATATCTATGGCATCCGGCGTTAGATATTTTCAAATAATTGAAAGACGGGATATTTTAGCTAGCGAAGATTTCTTGTATTATCGTAGTATTCATTGCACTCGTTTCAATACTACTGCTGAACTGTACAGTATTTCACTCAACTTTCTTTGGTTCATCTTCGTTTTTAAATTATTTTGAGCTTTTCACCATCGTAGTGATTTTTGTGGTGATTGGTGAGCAGTGCTCCCGTTCACGTGGAAGGTAACGTTTCAATTAGCAGATTTTTAGAAAAATATCCTACTTGTGATTATTCCGAAAGGGAAGTTAATGTCAGTATTGCTTTGAAAAATCTTGATTTTCTCAGTCGAAAACAGTGAAAAAAAAGATAATCTTAGGTGAAGATGTCATTAACTAATAATATCGTTTCTATTTATACGATATCCGTTAATAAGAGACAAAATCTATGTCCCCAAACGTATTTCTAGTGGAATCCTAGTGTATTTTTAATAATTGATTCAAATACTAATTTGAATGGGAACTACCTTTTATTTATACAATTATAAAATTATACAATTTTGATTAATCATAATCCTTAATCCATTGTGTATTAAACACAATCCATTTCACGTATAGTTTCAATTGTTTGTTCTTCTAAATTTGTTACAAAATGGTGAAATGTATACTTCCCGAGGTTTCGTATGAATTTGGTAAACGTTTTCTAATTATTCTGCTTTTTTATGAGAATTTTGGGTTGAGAGAAAAACGAACAAATCATGTAGACTCATTTCAGCATGGATGCATTTTTCCATTATACAAAAATAGAAAGTATTTGTTCAGGGCAACTTCATGTATCAGTGACTTACTTTAGCGTTCCCGTGAATATCACTAGCATTTTGATTATCCATGCGTGTTTAATTACATGAATGTATAATAATGAATCTTAATGTAATTGTTCCATTACTCTTACTACGTTATTTACCAACATGCGTGTGTCGTCAATCACACAAAATACAGTTTTTCTTGGAAGTGACTCCGTTTTCTGTGAACAGAGAATGTATTTGTAACGAGGAACAACGAAATAACGAGGAATTGAAAATATTTGTTTTCAATCCCTCGTTATTTCTTACTTCTCTTTCTTTGCTAAGTATAATCTTGATGACGTGAGGTTTACAACAAATTAATGCGCTGTAATCCAAAATCAAATAGAGTAATGAAAATAAATATAATGATAATGTAGTTGTGAGATAAAAACAAACACTTGGAAGTCGAATGTTCGTAATGTGGCTCAAATACAAGACATAACTGTGTCATTATAAGTTTGAAAAGTTTACACATGACCAGTTTATCCGAACACTTTTATCTACTGGCATTGGGAAGATAATTAAGGTAAATATGTGCAGTAAATCAACAAAATCAGTGAATGCATGCGTTTCTCGGAAAGGCAATCATTTAAACATGTTTACCCCATTGATTGTTATTCATTGTGCCGCATTATCAAGCGCAACATTAAAAAAAGATAATGTTAATATTGTAATGCCTGAGATATAAAGCTCCTCGCAAAATAAATGTTTTAAATATAGTGGTGACGTATGCGGAACAAAACTCATCATACATATTTATTCTTTGTTATATTTCTCATGAACTACAATGTGTCAAATTTCATGTCAGTTCGAAGGCAAATGGCATCATGAGTAGCTTTCTGTTCGCTCCAATCTGCGTGCAGACATTTCTCTCATAGAATTTCTACCCTGGTTCTTGATATTATTTTAATTTTATTTGTTGGATTTTTTCTCGAACAGTTGGTATTTGCGTGAAAATTACCAAGGTTGTCTTCGTTTACAGTCGACCTGAATCCAGAGAAAGGTCTCGAGGACGTGGGAATAGTGGGATATTTTTGTAAAAGTCAATTTTGCAGTGTATAATGATAATTATGATTAGCATACAATTTGAAAAATAAAGAGTTGCACTCTTCCCACTTGCTACTAAAGTGCAGAATATGAAGCTTATGTCATCTGATGATAAGTAGATCACGAAGTGATTTTCCTTGGATTTAATGCATTTCAAATATGTTCAGGAGAAAAGCTATCATCCTTCCGTTATTGAATCACGTAAGTGATCATTACTAAAATTTTACAATTTAAAAATGGACACAACTGCATAAAAATCGGAGTTTGGGAGTAACTTAATAAAAATAGAAGAAATTGACATTTGCCATTTTGAGGCAAGGGTTAAGTTAGTACCCTATTGAATTTCACATTGAATTCACAGGAAATTCTCACTGTGATCAAGAATTCAAAAAAGCTGTTGTTAATTATGGCCACTACTAGTTTTTTCGTCTTGGTTATTGTACCCCGTTTTGTAGCAAAACTAGTCGGTTTTGCTAGAAATGTATCGAGTCAGCGTCCTACTACAAAGTGTAGCTCGTTTTCGAACTCTGCTCGGCACGTGTTTCCCTTCTTTTCAGTGTGTTGTCCCGCGCAGATCCTTACCTTGTACTCGCCCTTTAGCAGAAGATCCCGACAGTGTGCCTAGTGTATGGGTTCAGGCTTATTCCTCGGGAATGTAGGAAAATGGGCTTGAAATATAAAAAGCTGCACCGGAAGCATATCAATTGCTATACAATTAATACATTTGTTTTTAATTATTCGTTATTTATTACTTCTCTTACTTTGCTAAGTGTTGACCACGATGTGATAAGCGAAATAAAACACAAAGTTAATATTTCTGAACATATTTTTGTCTGCAAGTAGGTTTGGATTAGCCGAAAATTGTTCACATTCATACTTGGTATTGTAGTAACCTTTCTCAAATGATTCTCGAGGGACTCAAATTCAGTTTCTAGGCAATAGTGCCTGATATTTTAAATAAGCTGGAGCTAAAAATAAAATTGGGTAACGGCAGGTATTAATTTCTTGAAACGTACAAAGCCTTCATTCTTTCTGTGGTGGATTGCCCAAAATTTGTATTTTCAACTTCTCCCGTAGAGATTGAAATCGTTTTTATTCCTCTGACCCCGCATGACGATTCCTGAACATACGTACTGTAAATATTTGTGTGTTTGCGTGCGTGCGATTTAACCGAAGGCGTGGGTGCCCCTGCGCAGATCAAGCTGTGCGGCGGCTGCTGCCTGGCGTGCGCCGTGCTGTGCGTCGTCGTCACCATCACTACGACGGTGGTGCACATGAACCGCCTGCAGACGCTGCGCGAGTGCATCTACACGCAGAAGACGCAGACGTGCACCTGCTACTCCGCGCTGCACGAGCCGGCCGCTCCCGACCGCACCGACGAAGGTGAGCGAGGATTGTTCTCCTCGAAAGTGTTGCACGATTAAAGAAGAAAGTAAGGTTTCAAGAATTGCGTCTGTCAAAAAATATGGACCCTAACCTTACACAAAATCACCATTTATTAAGACAGGATAAAAGGTGGAAATGGGAAATTGTAATACTTTTTTGTCCAAACTCCGCGCTCCGCATGATCGTCCGATCACGCGGCGTTCGGAGTAGGTTTGCTCGCAATGAACGTTAAAGGATCAGACGCTATTAAATAATAAAATTATAAAAAATTATTAACAAATTCATATCATGGACATTCACTGGATAGGAAATGTAGATGGAAGCAACAGAGAGAGTGAATCGGAGCTAACCGCTCGTTCCATCCCATTGCTGGCTTACCGTGTGCTTGTTGGCATTTGCTCGCGCTCTGCCGACCAAATTCGATAATCTTGATCATTCGGTTCGCTTCGTTACAGACGTGTTCGCCAGTGTGTACACGCCTTTACTGCGTTGCTATTGGTCAGGGCGTATTTATTTTAGTATCAAAAATAGTTGAGCTGTATTGAACGTACAGGAGTGTTAACTTACCCTTTCTCCGCGCTACACCTCAGAAAGGATTAAACTTACGAACAAATCACAAATCAATATGTGATTGTAATGTTTTCTGCACCTTTTGTAATAACCTGCACTGCGCGTTGCATTGGAGATAAGGCAAATTATATGCATTTGGTCCTCCGTTATCTCGAAAAGCATGAGTATCGTTTTAAAGATTTTACAAAACCTGATTTATAACGTCGAAAGAAAACTGTATATCATACTAATTTAAAAAATCATATTAATAGGAATTTTGCCGCATTTAGGTCTTTTGTCGTCTAATTTAAACTACTTTTCGGTGCCTTCGGAAGCTATCAAGTTGCGGTTTTCTCCATTATAGCACAAACCCAAAAAGTAAGGACATGTGCTTTTTCCAGAATTTAAGCGTTCTACTTTTCGTGACACTCTGGTGACAGCGTGTGAACTTAATTTCCCGCGCGAAATGAAGTTTCATCTCTAACTTTTTACATGTCTATAAGAATTTCGCACTTAAGGGTCGTATTAATACTTTTGCCAGCTAGCGTTGTTCCCAGGTCTGGGACCGATTTTTATTTCTTATCCACGCATGGGGGTAATGGAGACATGTGGCGAGCATAACGAACTCCTATCACCGTATCTAGCATGCTTGGCCCTGTCTGAGCTTTTCTTGTGTGACACAGCTACAGACTCTGAGATAATTGTATGTATTACGAAGCTAGAACGCTTAATTTTGCTCCAACCGGGAATCGAACCCGGCGTCGCACTGCAGAAAACTAGCACGCTGACCATGAGCTACCCGAGCGACTTGCTTTTCTCGCATATATTTGAGAATTCTTTTCATACGTGCGAATAAAGGTCTTAATAAATACCGTGCATTCTGCAAATGTTCGCATAGGTATAAGTCTAATATGGGTCTAATGATGTCCCAAGATAAACATGGGGACCCCAAAGACCTTTGAGCCCGTCATGAGTCCTCATGTACATCCCTCGATGTCACACGCACAGACGACCCACGTCGCTTTCGTTCAGTCGAAGTGCGCCACTCGAACTAAACGTATTGACACACTCGCGACGCGCACAAGAGCGTGTGTGTCATCGCTCGCACATCCATCGCTCAGTCGCTCATTCGCATGCAGCCCCACACGTAGAGCAACGTCCCTCGAAAGCGTTCTGTTTCATTTCAGACTTCAATTTCCACGCACAAACACGCCTCCCAAACGTGTATACACATCAATACGTCTCCCTCCCAGAGCCACAGATACAGCGGCTCGCGTACGGGAAAACGGCAAACATTTCCCTGCCTGCGAAAGAATCCCTGTATTTTCGGGCAAACAAGCTCGCGTCATTCTCTGTTCTTTTGCACAAAAACTGCCTCCCGTACGAACGGAAGCATTTTCTGTCGTTGGTGGAAATTATCGTGCGGGTAAACAAATCTGTTTTAGCACGCAGATTATTCGTATTGCTGGGCGCACAATTACGAATTCAAATAAAACGCGGTTCTGCGTGACAGCGAGTAAACTGCAAAACGCACGCGATGATGGATTTTCAATTTGTAAACTCATTCTGTGACGGCGATTAGTGGCATGCGCAGTACGTACGCCAAACCTCCCTGGTAGCGGGAATGCAACTGAGTCGGGCCCAGACCATTTGTTGGACAAAGCATTACACCGGGAGTTGTGACAGGTGGTGTGCCTGTGAATAGCCACCTCCCTAAGCTGCTTCCAAAGAAACTTTTGTGGGGAGAAAACTCTAACAACCACTCATAGTCTTTGGTAGTTGAGAGCTCGGAAATTTGGCAAAATGCCTTTTTATGATTGTTACGATTTATTACTTTTAACAATAGGAAGGTATTTATGGAGTTGTTTTAGATTTTTGTTTCGCCTTTTTGGCTTATTTTAGCTTCTGATACCTATTTTCAGTATTTTGCCTTTTTTTTTTTTTCATTTTTCTTTCTGTTACGTCATTATTTTTTCTGGCATCGATCCCTACCTAACGGGAAACATATCTGCAAGTTTAGACTTTCTTCCATAAGAAGGCACTGTCGCGTTTTGTCTTTCTGTAGAAGCAGAGACTACAGGGGCAGGCCGTATTATAACATCGAAATGAGAAAGGAAGATGATACCATTAACGGTTTTTTTATTTTATTTTTCACTGATGCCGACAGGCTTTGCTTGCTCACGGGAAGTCCCATCATACCTTTGAGTATGGTTTCCGATCCATTTTGAGGACAGACTGAGAATTGCCGCTGCCAAGAATTCGTTGTATTCTGAAATTGATTAATTGATGATTTACGTCTACTGCTATGATCAATAGTTCCTTACGTGTAGTGCATGTTTTCATTGCGGGAGGTGGCGGTGATCTTCCCACGCTGGATGGTGAGATCCGGCGCCGATCTACATCGGCTTGCGGGCAGTTTCCCCAACTAGTTGTCTACTATTAACGTGGCACCAGTCCCGCCGGAACACGTTCTAAGATCTTGGCATGTGCGGTAGTACAGTGAATGTGAGTGTAAGGACGTAAGTGTGAGATCGAGGAAAGGTCAAGGAAGAGGAAGGAAATATGGCGCGCCGTCCGTGGCACGTTTGTTAGGGTGCTGCTGTGGTTTTTGCCTTTTGTTGACGGGAGAAACCACGGAAAACTTCCGATCGGAGCAGCCAGCCGCTAGAATTCTCCTGTAGGCAGCGGCTGAATTCGCCCTAGCTGTCTAGCGTGTGTCGAAAATGCCACAGTCGGGATTCGATCAGAGGCAGTGCGGTGACATCAGTTGATGCCCTGAGGTACCTTTGTCGGTACCAGAGTATGTGCAATTAGACGCTTTCAAAAGAACTGCATTCCTTTGTTATGGAGACCCGTGGTGTAATTGTCAAACCGCTCCTCCTCGACCTCTGTGTACCGGGGTTCAAATCTGGTGGAATTCGCGGCAAGTTACCTTCGTTGCCCCTGACTGTCATTCCACTGTTGCCCCAACATTCAGTCATTACCGTCATCATCACACGTTCATCAAACCTAATTATCTCCGCCATGGTCAGAAAAGCTGAAAATCGTAATAAAGAATACATATTGTTCCTGAGATATCAAAATTGTTTGGCTGAGTCTAATGTATAAATGGGGTGGTATAATAAGCCTCAACACCTGTATTGCATCCGAAGGCGAAGCCTTCTGTCAACGTGCATCTTTGAAAATCATACAACAAGTTATTTATGAACATAATTATTATTTGAAGTAGCAACATGTCATGTGTTTTATTACGGTAGGTAATGAATTATTTTATAATGGGTTATACTCGCTTTTATACATTACCTTAAGTATTTAGAATGCATTGGACGCATCATTGAAAGAAACCCTCTAACTGTGTTATTGATTCGTTTGTTGAACCCTCGCCCCTTCCCCGTATACCGATATCTCCAAGTTCCCCCCCCCCAATGACTCATCGAACTTCTCCTTTCGACGCGCCAAATTACCCTTTTTCTGCTGGACAGACGATGATAGACAAAAACTCCCGCAACTCGGTAATGCGTGAGAATGATGAACGGACCTCTCAGAAGTAAATTAGAAACCAAAAAAATAGTTAAGTTATTCAAAAGGTAATCTCTAGTGAACGCGTTAATTATTGAAAATAAATACTTAAGTATATAATCATTTAATAATATAATAGAGCCCTCGGATGGCTCATTGACAGCGTGCCAGCTTTTTTTAGTCCGATCTCGGGATCGATTCCCGATCGGGGCAAAAGAAGAGCTGTAGGTATCCATTACAGTCTTCTGATATTCTCTAGCTGTCTGACGAAAGATACTCTAAAGCAGGCTAAATATGTTAGATACGGTGACGGGAATACGTTACACTTGCCACCCTTACCCCCAGGCGTGGATTATAAATAAAAACAGGTCCCAGGCCTGGGAACGTCGTTAGCTGGAAAATGCCGGATTACTCCGGCACTAAAATGCTAAATACATACAATAATATAATAAAAATCGCCTATATGATTGTCTAAATTATGTTAATTAATGGAATGAGGTTCTCAGATGGAATAACAAACCATCAGTGTAATGCTTTTTAAATTATTGTAGAGAAATGTTTTGTTACAAATTTCACGACGTTTTGTGGTCAGGTGTAACCGCATCTTCAGGTACGAAAATATAGGTGTTCTGGAGACAAAATAAACCGTGGATTTATGGTAGATTCTAAGAGTAAAATGGTGTCACTGTAATAAAAAATTGAAATATGTACACTGAGGTGAATTCGAAAAATATTTTGAAGAAAGTCGTGCAAATGACATGGTCATTGCAATGCCGACCAACTGATCTGAAGTAACCATTAACTATATGAATGATCTTAACTGAACGTTAATGATCTGAAGTAACTATTATAAAGTTTGATATCATATAAATTTTTATACATTTTAGCTAAGGAAACTGCAAACAAAACGAAATTTGTAACTAGAAGTTACTCAAATTTGGCGTATATGTGTGCGAAAAAGTATGCTTTTTGCTTCTTTTAATTTTTGTAACTTTTCTGATTGTTGCAGACATATGTATCTGTAAATACTGAATGTAATGGAAGAAATTCGTAATACAAATTTTCATAATACAAAAAACATCAACTAAATTCACTACGTTTATTGCCAAATTATCATTTTGGAATCGGTAAATAGCTGTAATTTTCACATTTGTTCCATTAGAAATATCTTCATAATCGAAAACAGTTTTTCTTATTAACAATAATTGAGACCGGTTGTGCATAATAATGCAATTAATATATAAACATTCATGTTGAATATACACGTAAAACAAACTCAAAAATTACACGTATCCTTGTATTTGGAATCAAAATAGGAATACATACGTTTTACAGACAAAAGCTCTGTCGCCATGTTTCAAAATGAATCCAATTATTTCCGTTACAGTCTCATAAATAACAGAAACGACAAATCGATTCGAGTCGTTGGTTAGAGTAGTGCATCTACGGTCAATAGACATAAAAGCCTGCATTTTTTATCAAATGTTGGTAATTGATGTGCACAATAATTCCCACGACAAAATCTTGCAATAAATATTATTTTTTATGATTCAGAACTTTCCGCTAGTTCACTCGCTCTTTTCCTGTGTTCCTCTTTAATTTATTCTGATGTCAGATGGTAGCAAAGTTATTTTCTCACTGCGCATTTTTAATTACGTGGTTGGTTGGTGAATGTGAATGGCGAACGTGATGTTGGAAAACGTAGCTGAGCACAAGACTTGGGGATTTCCAGATTCTATTGAAAGCGCTACACGACCGACGGCAGCCGACCGTCGACTGGTCGCCGCTCGCCAGGTGGCTTCCGAGGTACACAACACTTAGCGGCGTGCTCCTGCTCGGTCTTACACGGAGCGTCCGCCCGGTAGGACCCTGAGCGGCGCTCGGTTGTTTTCCGCATAATTCAGAACTCTGCAATGCAGGCGGTATTTTTGATTAATTGATGATTCCTGGCGCGTCAACGGCTAAGGTCATCACTCCCGTACGTGTAGTGCATTTTTTTCCTCGGGAGGTAGCGGGAATTTTCCCCCACTCGATGGAGAGATCCGACGGCGTCCTACCTAAGGTGGTTTCTTGAACCAGCGGGGCACCGCCCCTGCCGGGACAAGGTCTGCTCCCGGCCGTTGATGTTCTGAGCCACCTCTCCCGGTCAGTGCAGGCGGGAGTCTCATTATCCATGTCTCATGCTACGAAGATGAAGATTTAAAAAATAGCAGCCCTAATCATTAACTCCTGTAGAAAAATAGTTTTAGTATTCATGATTGGGTTATATTTTTCTACTTTTATTAGTGTATACACTAGTGGTCTGCATCAGCAATAATATTGCTGAACAAAACTTCACAAAATATCTTTCCTAAAAGTTGCCCGAAATGGCTCACGAACAACAATTACATGCTGCAACATATTCACTTTTCTCGCAAAAACATTCTTCACGAATACGGGAATAACATAGCATGGTAGCTACATACGGATACATAGCACATCAGATCTTTACCTTCCAAGAATATCAAAATGTTACAGAACGCAACTCATGAATAGCAAATATATAATTGCGGGCGGCCTCATTCTTGGAGCCTTGATGTTGCACGTCAGCAATGTTATCAACAGTGTCGCACAGTGTGGCACCCAGCCAACGACGCGGCGTCTCCCGGATATCCGAGAATTTATGGATTCGAGCCGCGGAAGCTTACGTAACAGTGTCGCACAGGGTATGAGAATTCAGTAGGAATGCGGAGTGTGAGAATAGGCAGGCTAACACAATTTTATTTGTATTTTTTAGTTAAATTCGAAACTTTATTTTTTTATTTTTCCCGAGTTCATGAGTATCGATCAAAACCGTAGACACATCTCTGGCCGGCTCCATCATAGTTTTCTGTCAATTTCTTTGCACATTGGAAATTAGTAATACAAATGTTTTACAATTTAATCCGAGTTCCTAGGTATCTAACGAAATGGATTTTTCGTTGTTTCCTTTCATTTCTGTGCGCATTTGAAATTAGTAATATAGATACATTGGGGTCTCTGTATTGTAAGACGAAGTCGTGTATCAAAAGCAGCCACAGCTTTTTCTTGTGCGTATATTGATAACACGATAAGTCGAGAAACCTTTATATAGAATCAGTGTATCGGTCCTCCCAGTCAGCTACTCTGTGCTTAGGCTATGGTGTTGTCGCTGAGATATCGCAATCGATTTTAACATCAAAATACTAATATCAATCAACACATACAACAGTAATTTCAAATAATTTTCGTCCACATTGTTGTATTATGTATTTGGCCTTTTAAGTCGATTGTCCGACTTTGCCGGCTAGTTGTCCCCCTTCCCTGGATCTAGTGTGATTCCCGCACTTGGGGGTAAGAGTGGCATGTGGCCAACATTCCCTCACGTAACTAGCAAACTCTGCTTGTCTGAGATTTTCCTCTTCACACAGCTACAGAAATTAATATGATGTAAAGTAAAGCTACATTTGCCTCGATTGGGAATCGAACCCGGGAGGATAATAAGCCCTCCTAGAGGCTTAGATTTTTTTATTATTAAAGGTCGCATCGACATCTAGGTCATTAGCAACCACTATTGGATTGAACGTTATGGTAACTGTGAATAATACTTGATATGGTAATTATAGAGGGTGGTAGAGGGAGATAAATACAACCATGTCCGAGGCGGGACTTGAACCTGCGATCGGTGTCTGAGATCGCTACAGCACGTAACGACCTCGACCATCCGGACGACTGAGATTTTTTTCGGGCGTCAATTTTTTAAATGTATTTATTTATTTTTACAGTTTTGTGCGGCAATTAAAAAATATCGCCTACGCGTTAATCCTTTGCGCAGGCGTCCGCTACGTGTTCAACGCGACGCCCGACTGCGAGGTGGTGCACGGCGCGCTCTACTCCTGCCTGCGCGCCATGTTCGGGCTCTCCGTCATCGGCATCCTCATCTGCATCTTCTCCTGCATGCTCGTCTACCAGCTGCTCAGGTACGTCCATTGGTAGAAGAATAGCCTCACTTCATCACGTCTTGTCGAGGCATGGAAAATTCTTCGGGACGATTTAAGGCACGTCGTGAAAATCGCGGTTTGGCTGCGGAAATACGCGATGCACGTTTCATGTCTCTGCGAATCGATCTTCACTATTTTTGGGCGTACGATTCGTACTTTTCGTAACGTATGGGTGCCACGAAGCTTTGTTCGCGTGATAACTCGAATATACTTACATTCCGTGCTACTGTGCTTTGGATTTAAAATGACGTTGCTGAGAAAACATTCTTCATACGACCATTTTATTCGATGATGTACAGGAGGAAATAATGTTTTATGATATAAAAAGTATCACGTGATGAAATCTTGGGACACTTTTCGAAAAGTCAAATTTGAAATATGTAATGATCATGCTCCGTTTCTCTCAAGCTTTATTTATGTGGATGTATGCTATTTATTGAATTGTATGAAATGAACTTTATATTTGCTCTCAAAATATTTTTTAGGTCTTTACTACTTTTTGGTTGGGCTACCTCCATCTTGCATATAACCTCCCTTGACCATAGACTCATGGGATATCAGATGCCCTTTCTAAATCCAAGCACGAACGTCTCGCCGATCCATAGACCTTATTAATCCTGTCGAATGGGCGAATATTCCTTACCGCACCTCGGCTGCCCGAGGTAACTCATGAGACCTCGTCGGACAGTTAATTTTTCTACATTAAATGCCGAGGTACCCCGTAGTCGCATCTCGACTTTAAACAACCGGGTATGTGCATTTCTGGAGGATATGGAATTGTGAGAAGGCCTCTTTGCCACAACCTTCATGAAAGCATCCAAGCGCTTCTAAGGATTCGAAGCCACTCCCTACTTGCGTAGGTCACTGCCTTTATTAAGAAAAAAATCTCTGATTTTCAATAATGTAGTTGAAGGAAGTCGCCGAAAAAATTTGAACTATTGAAATTTTCGAAAAATTAGGAATTTTCACGAATATGCTATTCTTTCCATTTTTAAGAGTTCTTTGTGAAAATTTGAAAATGTTGAGGTTTAATGTAAAGTAAGTTGTAAAGACTTCATGAAAGTTAAAATATCTGTTTTAAACTCGCAAGGCCTCAAGTTCGTTTAGATCGGTTTCGGCATATCGATTTTGGCGAAAATCACCAGAACGCTTTAGGTGCTAGTGTTGACCACAAATGGACTGGCCGACAGACGAACGGACGATCGGACGGACGAACGGACAGACGGATAGGCGTGCCGTCCAGCAGACGGGCGCGTCCACATCCACCAAATTAACGCCCTCGTGTGTGCTGTTGCAGCCACGAGAAAAAGAAGATGTACTGGGAGCAGCTGGAGATGCGCTGCCGCTATCTGTACCGCCAGCAGCGCGCGGCGCCCCCCGCCCACCACTGCGCCTGCTGCGAGGAGTGCCGCTTCCCGCCGCCCGCGCCCCCGGAGCTCTTCCCCTGGGAGGCCATGGACGACAGGTAGCACTCTCCCGCGCGCCTCCTCTTCGCGCCACTCCCACTCCGCGCCGGCGCGCACGCGTAGGCCTGAATTCGCAATGGGGCGGACGGACGCGAACCTGCTGTCACAGCCAGACCCCCTCGGCTCCCATGTTCTTCCGATGTGAATGCGATGTGTGACACCTGTGTATCTGGATGTAGGATGAAAATGTTAGAGGGCAGAGCGGTTGGAACATCCATCTGCAGGCCCGCTTGTTGGCAGTTGTGTGTGATTTAACTGCGAGGGATGTGTTGCCCATGTAATGACGGCCGTGGAAAATTCAACCGGCGATTGTGAATTTGGATTGAGAGTAATCCCTGCTTGTTGCACCGGACAAGCAGGGAAGAATAGTATATGTGTAACAAGAGTGCAAAATTGATTAGATATCCGGAGCAATTTCTCGTAAAGTCTAATTAGTGCAGTCGAAATATTTTTGTCTTAATTTACGACTATTTTACGTCAATTAAACGAATGTTGTTGTATACCTTTGCTAGATGTAAATTTGCGAATCCTGTGCTAACTGGCGTAATGCATGTGTCATAAAAAAGCTTATTGTCCTCTTTTGCCAAAATCAAAACACATTAGTAACTTAGAATCCACCATTGTTGAGGCATTAATCTTAAAAAGGCAACGGTAATTTATTTGGGTTCATTCATCTCAGAGAAATTACGACTGTGATGTTAATCATGTAAACGCTTCTTACGGAAGATTCGTAAAATTTCCTGAAAATGTCATGAAATAACAAAATTATAATCTGTTCTCTTTCCCTTTTGTTTACGTGCATCCATCAAGACTTCACTCAGTGCCTTGTCCATTATCGTATATTTCAATGACCCTCTTCCCAAAGCCATTACAGTACAAACATGTGAGGTATAACAGTAGAAAATTGATAATGAATTTCAAATTCAAGGTTGCTATAGAGTGGTATTAAACTTTAAGACTTTTATCAAAATATAGAAATTAGAGTTGTTTTCTATTGGAAATGGGCCTTGGATATTTTCATATTTGTTAAAATTTGCCACCACTACACATTAACACATATTTCACGCGAGGTGCGTGTTCTTAAACGCAATGGTGTAAGATGAGAATAGCAGCTGGTTTCATTTTCCCCGCTGGTTCAAGAAACATGGTGCAGGCCGCACTTTTCTGTCGGCGCCGCGAGCGCGTCAACAGCGCGCCTGCGCGGTGCAACGTATCAAGGCCCCTTACCCGCTTAGGTGGCTCCCGGCATCAACTGATGTCACTACAGTGCCTCTGACCGGGATGTTCTATGGTTCGAGTCCTGCCGGTGGCAGGATTTTCGACACTACTTAAGTAGTTCGGTCGAATTCAACCGCTATCTGGAGATTTCTAGCACCCGGCTGCTTTGATCGGTAGTTTTCCGAGTTTCTTCGATCAACATCTGGTGAATGCCGAAGCAATACCCTAACAAACGAGCCACAGACCGTGCGCGATATTTTCTTACTCTTCCTTGTTCTGTCCTCACTCCTTACTTACATATACTCACATGCACTATTATACTCACACCACACAACTCGGAGACCTTTCGGGGGACTTAAGCTTGTGTCGGTTGGGGCAATGCCCAGCCTCGTAGGTCGGTGCCGCATCTCATCAACCAGTGGGGGATGATCACTGCCTCCCCTCGTGATAAAACATCACAACCGTTGACGCGCCCGGAAACACGAAAAAATCAATGAATCAACTAAAGCTCCTTCACAAGACACTATTCAGCAGTGCTTCCGACGGGCAAAACAATGGTTTAAATGGAGGTATTCGCACGAGTAGCATAGTTGCGCTGATGTGGTGCTTGTAGGTGAACTCCCGCCACTAGCAGTGCAGATGCGCGTCCGCGCGACCGCTAGCAGAGCAAGGTTCTAAATGGCAGCACTGAGTTAACACGTTGACTGCCTTTCCCACGGTCAGTGGCACTGAGCGGTGTATGAAGGGGCGGCGCGCTTCTTGATCGCGCCATCCAGTGGTCCCGAGTAAAGACTGTCTTAGTTGTCAGTATCAGTAGCTGCTGATACGCGTGGGATGGCTCGCTTATCGGTTCAAGCAACCTTCTCAGTTCACTTATTTTTTATCGGCCCTTTTGGTGCATGTCACCGTTTCCCTGCATACGACATGTCTATTTTGTTCATTAGGTGGCTTCCAGGGTGACGATCGTCTCGGTAGCAATTGTTGCAGTGCCTCTTACCTTGGGTTTGAGGTCTTTGGGTTTGAGGCCCGATCGTGGCAGGATTTTCGACACTAGCTAGATAGCTAGATCGATATCAGTCGATGCGCGAAGGAGAATTCTAGCGGCCGGCTGCTCTGATCGGTAGTTTCCCGTGGTTTCTCCGATCAACACCAGGCGAATGCCGCAACACTACCATAACAAACAGACCACAGACCGCGATCTTTCCTTCCTCTTCCTCGTGCTTTATCATCACTTACACTTACATTCATTACACTACCACACATCTTGGGAGACCGGTCGGTAACTTAGAGCTTGTCTCAACTGGGGTGGTGCTCCGTTGGTGAGGGATACGTGGTTGGAGAAATCCTCACAACCCGACAGGTAGAAGCGCTTGGTCTCGCCATCCAGCGAGAGAAGATCACTCTCACGTCCCGCGATAAAAGCAAACACAACACGGGACCAATGACTTCACCACTGGTATCACTAATCCATCAGTCAATCAATCGTCGGGCTAGCTAGGAAGTAGTGGCGAGTAGCGCGCTTTCCTTCCCCGCGGCGCGCGATGGCGCACCCGGCGTGCACATTCTACCGAACTGCAGCTGCAGTTTTGTTTAATGCGACCACGTCATAATGTCGCTGCCACCTCACAATAAAACGTAGCTATAGCAAGTTGTTAGGGAATTAAAATACTTTATGGCGTTGAATTGTTTGGTTCTGGGATTACAAACGCAGAAGACACGAACTCGTCTGGAACAAATAGTAAACAAGTTTTGAAATGTTTCAAATCATCGGTGCAACGAACGTTGGCGGTTTCCAAGACATCTGATGCTTACATCTACTGTAACTTTGTGAATTCCGCATATTGTTAAGGCAAAATAAACGGTGATTGTGTTATTGACAAATAGTATTAGTGAATCACGTGTGTCAGCTTATAACTGTGCGAAAGGTACCTCATTATATCAAATTGATTGACATGTGAAACTTGTGAATGCTGGTTAATCGGATACTGGTATCATTTAAGTTGATTATCTTTGGAGATACTTTTCAATTTGCTCACTTTCCTTGGCCGTTGTCTCTCACTGATTAAAACATTTACTAGAGTAGATAGTGATGCTTAATTTCGTGTGGTGCCATTACTTATTGTAAACCTAACACAAAATGTAACCAAAAGTAAATGTGACGTCAATGCAACGTGTATCTGTGCTGGGAATGATTCTGAGGTCTTAACTGAATCTAAAATACTCATTTATTTTGTGAGTTAAATTCACACTATGGAATTGCTTCCCAAAAAATTATAAACAATAATTTCAATTTCCAAAGTTTAATTTTCTTCTTTTTTATTATTTTTTATTCTTCTTCGTCTTGTTGTTTGTCTTTTTCGTCTTCTTTTTCGGTTAGCCTGCAATGCGAGTGGGTAGGCCGCCCGCTTAACATCCGCGTATTGCTGGTTGTCTAACTTATCGAAACTTGCTCAGAAACTGTTCTGTTACGGTACCCCTTGTGGAAGTGATGCTATTTCCGCAAGTGAAAAACAATCTAGTACAAACAAATATTGTGTGGTGTTGATTTAAATATCAAATCATCTAGGATATTTTGGATATGTTATATTTTAATAATACTTTCCTTACATTTTCTCCCGTTCCTTCAATTATTCTTGTAGTCTCCTGACGCTAAATAGGAGACAGACAGTATCAAAGCAACTTCCATAAGATTTATCATTACCGAAATTCATTCTGGATTCAATTCCGCTGGGGGTGTATGAGTCTGAACATCTGTAGAGTACACTCCACGAAGACAAATTCAAAATGTAGTACACATTTTAAACATTTGATTGATTGATTGATTGTTAGTGATTCCGGGCACGTCAACTACTGAGCTCATTTCTTCTGTAAGTGCAGTGTATGTTTTCTTCGAGAGGTATCGGGGATTTTCCCCTCTAGATGCAGAGATCCGACGCCGTCCTACCGTCGGCTAAAGGGGTTTCCCCAACCAGGTATCTCCCGCCAGCTGAGAACTACCTCAACCGGGACAAGCTCTAAACTCCCGAATAGTCTACGGGCATGTGTGGTAGTGTAGTGCATGTTAGTTTAAGTGTGTGTAAGGGGTGAGAATAGGACGAGGAAGAGGAAGGTAAGACCGCGCGTGGCTTGTTTGTTAAACATTCAATATTTGCGATTATTAATAATATATTGAATACAGATCTCGTTAAATTCTTTATGCAATTTTGTCACATTTTCATACCTAAAAAAAGTGACGTGGTTGTGTAGTGGCGTAGATGATTTCCTCAAGCAACTTCATAGTTTGTTCCTACTGCCCTTCATAGTCTCAAGACGGGGCTAGGGTCTTTTTTAATTATTTTATATCTTGAAAGAATAATTTCCAATGGAATTCTAACACCAACGTCCATTTTTACTATTGCATCCAATACTGAAAAAATACCTTTGTAATGTTGGTATGAAAGTAAAATGCTTAGCGTACGGTAGAAGTAAAAAATGTAAAGCAGTGCGCACAAAATATAGAAGATGAGGATAGACAATGAATGACGCGATGATACGAGACGCATTCAATAATTAAAGAGGCAAATATGTCTGGAAAAATATACGTTTATTGTTACAAAACATGGCTTTTCCTACTTTTCAATATAATCCCCACCAACATTCATGCACTTGTCCCAACGACTTACCAGCTTTTCTACACCGGTTGCAAAGACCTTTTTATCTTGGCGTTTGAACCCATTTCGTACAATCCGCGTTATCCTAGAACTTCTTCCCATGTAATGCCTCCTTCAGTGGATCAAACTAATGGAAATCAAATGGTGCTAAATCAGGGCTGTGAGGGGGATGAGGCAGTACCTTCCGACCCACTTTGTCGATGGTTTCACGGCTTTGATAAGCAGTGTGAAGACGTGCATTGTCTTGCTGGAGAATCACACGTATCGTCTGAGATCCACGACGTTCCTCTCGTATGGCTGTGTGACATCATGGATACTCACAGCGAACACAGACACAGAGCTTTCATATAACAGATATTTATTTACAAAGAAAACACAACAAATATTTACAATGAATTTACACTTTACACCCTAGCTCTGATAGACCTGCTATCCCCTGATCGCAGGAGCGATCCCAACCCGATTGATGATCGGTTTCAATTGTGCCACTCGCCACTCCTACATCTGAAGCGCGCAGAAAGGCAAGCTTCCGTGGCCGGATGTCACACTGGGACACAAAGTCCGTACTGGCGTACCAAATGATGATTTGCGTCGATCCCAGGAGCGATCTTACCCGTTTGAAAATCGGCCGCGAGTCGTGGCACTCAACCACTCCTCACCTCGGAGCACGCACACAGCATCGCTTCCACATGACCGCAGTCACCCAAGGACACAAAGTCCTCCACAGGCTCGTCAACAAATGACGGGCCTCACGAACCCTGCTCGCCGCTGCACCATCGTGGCGCCAAGTTTTTGTGCAACTGCACGAGGCTCTCCCACTGTTTCCAGAACCCACCCACTGGCTCTGTGCACTCCCTTATATACTCGAGGCTCACGTGACGTACTACGTCACGCCGCCCCCGCAGTGCCCTTTGGTTGCATGAGGTTTGGGCCTCCGTTCCTTAAGACCGGAGGACCCCAAAGCCTCATGTCTCCCTTTTCCGCGTGCTGGCTTTTAGGAAAAACTCTTCTCTCCCTCCTGTGGCGAGGCGATTTCCTGTTACTAATCCCTTAACCAGGCATCCCCAAATAGCTGTCACGAGGCTCGCTGGCTAGTACGTTACAGCTGGCTTCACTTTGTTGAGTAGTATTGGCTGTTTGTTGTACGCTGTTCATTTAGATAATCACAAATAAACGCTCCTACAGCGTCCGCAAACACCGTCAACATGACTCTTCCTGCTAATGCGGCCAGAACGGTGGTCGTCAGTCACTGAGTCTCGACCACGTTTTGAACTGTTCTACCCACTTGTAAAAATTACCGCCGTTCGTATATCTTTGAACATACGTTTTAGTCAGTCTCACTTAGAGTATATATTAGCTGTTTTTTCACATTCGGCAAGTAAAAAAGAATTACAGAACGTTATTCAACCAATGTGGAAGTTTCAAGTCGACTCACCATCTGTCAACTTATTTTGAAGTTTTGAGCACAACAATGCTGTTCATCCAGATAGTAAGGGTTCATCCCAGTGATGTCAACTTAAATTCCTAAAATTACCAAACTTGTTCTTCGAACTTTTTTCTCCAGACCAATGTGTCTCTTTATTTATTGAATGGCCCTCGTAGTATTTCCAAATTGTGCGTAATTTAAATAGTTATTTATTAAAACGTTGCATATTTAAAATAGTTTTACTACAAATACTGAATAAAAATGGTTCGATCAGTATATACCTTCAGGATAACCTCTGCCCTGGAAATTTTATTGTTATTACGCAATGAACCAACTAGTTGAGACTGCATATTAATACTGACAACAACAATTATCATACGTTTCATCACAGGCAAATTTTTGCATTGCCAAAATTTGGTCGTTAACTAGTATCGCTACTGATGCTTCACATTTCTTATTTCAGGCGTACATAAGTGTCCCCGAGGAGTGTTTGGGTAAAACCCGTGCGTTTTCTCTCATCTCATTAATATTCAAAGCTTAATTAAGTAATGTTTTCGCAAAGTTGATGTTTCCGTTTTTTGAGTTTTTTAAAAATAATTTTTGGCGCAATCCTTGATCCCGCGACATTTAATTTGATCTCCGTTGGTCTAAGGCCGCCGTGCTCTCTGGTGACAGGTACTGGTCCGGGCCCGGCCGCGTGGGGAACCTCTATTCGCCGAATCCGGGCGAGGAGGCTGCCGTGACGCAAGCGACGGCCGGGTGCGGCGGCGGCAGCGGCGGCGCCAGCGCGGGGGCGGGCACG